CCTTGGTTTATAAGGTTTTAAAGCATAAATTAGCTTAATTTATGTGATTAAATGGATTGAAAAGAAGGTTAATGTCCTAGAAAGTCCTAAATACAAGTTCTGAAGTTTATGCTAAAAATTTACATTGTTCTTGTAGGAAAATGAAGCTCGAGAAGCAAAAAAAGAGAAGGAATAAGATTATGAAGAATGGGAAAATTCTAAGTGTTGGACGCTAAAACGGCCAAAGTCAAGAGTTTTAGCGCCCTGCTGCAAAATGAAGCCAAAAAGTGCTGGTGCTGAGCGCTAAAACGCCCAAAGCAAACGTTTTAGCGCCCTGCTATTCACAAAGATGCTGGTGTTGAGCGCTAAAACGATCAAGTAAAGCTTTTTAGCGCCCAGGACAGTTAAAAATGGTTAGGCACCTGTCAAGTTAAGCGCTAAAACGTCCAAAAATGAGAGTTTTAGCGCCCGTGTCAGTTTTTGGATGTTATTCAGTTAGAATTTGTAAACTATAAAAGGGGCAAAGAACCTTCATCCTATCATATCTCATATCATATATATCTATTCTAATCTGACTTTTCCCATCACACTAGGAGAAGGGAGATCAGATCAGATCTTTCATAGATCTGATCTGACTCCTCATTTTCTCTGAACTTCTAAATTCTTTAGGATTAGTTTTTGTATTAGTTAGTACATTTCTATGTAATTGTAATTGAAGATTGAAGACTCAACCATCATGACAATGGAGTTTGATCTTTCTTCTTCTCTTGTTTATTCTTTAATTATGTCTGAGTAGAGTCCTTTGTAGTCTGATTCAATGGAACTCAAGTGTGAATTTATGAATGGTTAATTAGATATTTTGTTTATCTCTTATGTGATTGTATGAAGTTGTCTTGATTAATTCTTTATATTAAGGGAATAGTGTAGAACAGACATGTTTACATTGTTTCTGTATCTGTCAACTTCATCATCAGTGTTCTAGTAGTTAAGACATTGATGCTAGGATTCTGATGTGATCTTAAGACCTTAGTAATTAATGCATGTATTAAGAAGGGAATCACCAAGACATTGGGCTTTCTGATTAATGTATCAATCAGGGTAGTAAGACATTACATTTTGATGATAAGAAAAAGGTTGATCAACATCACATAGAAGATAATTCATTATGGAAATTGGTTCATCCATATATTCATGCTTGAGGAAAATTGATGTCTGACTACTTGTTTACATTATAATCACATTTTATTTGTTTATCAAGTTTTTATGCAATTCAAATAAATTTCTGGTGATAAGAAATCGATGCAATTAATAATCTTTTGGTTGATTCAACTTAAGTATATATGGTTAGTCAGTGCTTGAACACAAATCCTCGTGGGAACGATCTTTACTCATCATTTTATTACTTGTGTGACTAGTACACTTGCTAAATACACAACAAACAACTAAGTTGTGTTACTACTAAGTTACTACCAATCAATCTCACTGTTAGATCGATTATGTTGACCCAACGGTTATATTTATTTTCATCTTTGTATGGTCATGATTTTCCAAATTTAATACTTTATATTTATTTCTACCTTTGTATGGTTATGATTTTCCATATTTAATGCTTTCACTTTAAATATGAGGAATCATAACCATACAAAGACAAAAATAAATATAACTGTTAGATCAACATAATCGATCTAATGGTGAGATTGATTGGTAGTATCATGGTAGTAACTCAATTTGGTTGTTACAATATTCTTCCCCTAATTATAATAGCAAGTAATGACATGTTTAAACTTGCAGGTTTGCTCAACCTAACATGAGTTGGCCCATGTTGATATTGGACCAAATTGAATTAGATCAAAACAAGCCGAAATCTTTTTACTTCAATTTTATTAATATAATTTACATATTTTGTCGAATTATTTGGACCAACTCATCATCGACCAATTTCAACACCATTAATCAAATCAATTAACACATAAATATTTGTCTTAATTAACTTACAAGGTATATTATGTTTTATAAAAATAAATCTAAATAAAACATATGCAATTCAAAATGGAATTAACCTAACCTTTACACAAACAAAACTTTAGTCAACCAAGAAAGCAAATATTGACCTATTTAAAAGGAGAACATGAAAATCTAATTTCCTTAATCTACTAAACTAAACTGAAATGCCACGAGGATTAAAACTTATTGAGATTAATGTTTTTTTATATTATAGGAGATAGTTTTATCTCTTACACAAACATAAAATTGTGTTGGGTTCATAGATTTTTTTCTCTCCTTTCTTCACATGGCTCCATATGGATCTTATACACTTTTATGTGTATGTAAGAGAAAATTTTATCTTCTATAACATGAAAAACATCAAACTCAAACTTATTAACACTATGTTTATTAGAAGGCCCAATAGTTGCCAACTTGGTGACGACAGCAGGGAGAGAGAAGGGAAGAAAACAGAGATATAAAATTATTATAGTTTATTTAATTTGGACTACGTTCAATAATATTTATTATATGGGTTTGATATTTATCTTTTTAAAAGATATAGAATTGTATTTTTCTAAATGAGAAAAGTAAATACATAATGAAAATCAAGGGTGAGAAAGTGATTTTTTTTATTTTAAATAAAAAACACTAGTTTTAACTAAAATGATCATCCTGTAAAAGGACAAATATTTTTCCATTTTTGTAATTTTCTTATAGCACTTGTTATAGCATTCTATTATAAGAAAAATATAAATAAGATTAATAGCACTAAATAACAACTGTTATTCATAGGTTTAAACTCAAATTATTAGAGAAAGAAAGAAAGAAAATAAAACAAAGCCCCACAACAGTATTAATACTAAGCTACTCAGTCACAAGAAAGTTTCCTCCACTCATCCGCCGGAGTGGCTCCTTCGAACTTTTATTGGCTTTCTCTATGTCCCACTATAAAAAATTATTATCTTAACGCGAATTATAAATTATACCAAACGGTTAAATGTTTAATTTTTGGGTGATTGGGAAGTAACTGATTAAGAGGTAGCTATATATAAGTTTTGCTGGAGAACCCAGATCTGATTTGTTAACAATGTTTTTATTTTATTTTATTTTTAGATTATTCTTCAATAATTCTATAGATTTTTTATGGACTAATTTATAGTTCGGGGTGGATCCAAGATTATGACTTTAAATCACTTTCAAATATGGTATTGGAACGAATCAAATATATGCTTTCATCCGCACCTACTCAGCTCTCATGTACCAACTAAATTATTATCATTTAGTATTACTTATCCATTTATAACCCACGCTTTCCAGATTTTAAACCTAATTTAATATAACAGTAGTAATTATTACAGAGAACAATTTGTCAGACCGTATAAAAAAAGAGGAAAGGTAGTCATTCTTGCTCTAGAAAAAAAAAGTGAGAAAGTTAGAAGCAATGTTATTAAAATTGGTCTGGTTAATGACCCAGTCGAGGTACTAGATTACTGAGTTACTGGTTCAATCAGTGGATCACTGGTTGAATCGCGTGACCCGGTGATTATAATATAAATCTATAATTTATATTAAAAAAATTATAAATATGCTCAAATAGCTGAAAAAAATAATATAAATTCTAAATATTTTAATATAAAAATAATAAATTATTCATTATTATCCAATAAAGGATTAAACAAATACATAATGCTTGTTATATTGGTGTTTCAGGTTCGGTAAACGACATCTCTAACTATCAAATCAAAATTCTCTGCATAGTGCAATTGAGATAATATTAAGATAACTTATGTAAAGCAATAAGTAACAGATCACTCAAATATGTCAATTATGATTTATTTATTTTTGGAAAACTTTTTTTTTTGAATTTTTTTTTTAAAAACCCGAGCTGGGTCATCGGTTTTTCATCAAAACCGGCCGGGTCTCACCGGCGGGTCTCACCGGGTCGTACCGGGTCTGATACTTGACCGATCTAATGTGATAACCGGACCGGTCAGATGACCGGTTCACAGGGTTCCGGGTCGGCCCGGCCGGTCCGGTATGGTTTTCACAACTATGGTTAGAAGAGTAAGAATTAAAAATCTAAATATTTTTATGTAAATAATATTACTATTAATATATAATTTAAAACTTCATTAAATAAGTAATTTAATAAAAAATTATCCTTATAATTCTAATTTATTTAATTTTTAATTTTTATATATTTTTCATATTAATCATTTTATTTTTTTCTCATTTGAGTTTTGCTCTTGATCAATTCTTATATTTTTTATTTATTTGAATTCTTACTTTTCATAAAAAAAATTCTTTCTATAATTTTTATTGAGAAAGGTTATACTCACAACTTTTTTTTTACAACCTCTTACAACCATATCTTAACACCGTTGATTTCCGCCACTCAACGTGTGAATTAATAATTAATTAATAAGTTTAATTTACGAAAATCATAACCATTGATTGGCGAAAATCAACGGTGTTAAGATATGGTTGTAAGAGGTTGAAAAAAAAATTGTAAGTATAACATTTCTCATTTTTATTTATCAAGTTATTTAAATAAATAAAAATATAAAAAAAGCCCAAACAAAATAATTATAAAAAATAAAATTGAATGAAAACTCTAATTGCCAATATCTTATTTAAACGTTAGTAAATTGTTGGAAGTACCACCTACCAAAAAAAAAGGGAAAACATAAAAATAATCCCTATGAATTTTTTTAATTATCACTTACTTTCCTCACAATTTTTTTGAATCATTGACATTTTTATTTAGATTTTTTTATCATTTATCTCCTGACTTAAAGTTTTTTTTATCACTTACCCCTCACTTAGGAGAGTAAATGATAAAAAAACTTTAAGTGAAGGAATAAATAATTCAAAATTTTGGAGAATGAATAAATAATAATGAAACAAGTTAGGATGGTTTTTGAAGTTTTTCAAAAAAAAAATAATTGTTGGAAGTACCAATTAGGGGAGACCCCGACTCAGAAAGTGTTCCGAGAAACGAAACGCTTGTAGTCCTTTGGAAGTCGTTTAACGTGGAAACGCGATCAAACCTAGTAAACGACATTGCCTCTTCAACCGAATGAACGGCAGAAGTTATCGCAAGAAAACTTGAATTCGCAGTTTCGCACAGTGATCTTGTCGAAAACTTCCATAATCTTCTTCCATGGCGGGTCTCAGAGGACTAGCGACGGCGATCGCGGCTTTAGTCACGGTGGCAGTGCTGGTGGCGGCTTTGCCGGCACACGCCGGCGACACGAACGGAGTATTCTCTCCGTGCACAGACACACGGGTGCAGAGATCCGACGGATTCACGTTGGGAATCGTGTTCGCATCGAAGGACAAGTTCTTCTACAACAACAACAGCAGCGTTCAGTTGTCACCGTGCGATACAAGACTCTCTCTCTCCAATTCCAACTCTCAGATCTCTCTGTTCAGACCCAAGGTCGACGAGATCTCGCTCCTCACCGTCAACTCCTCTTCCTTCGTCGCGGTTCGTTCTCTGTCCCTCTATTTTTGTTCTGAATTTCGATTGTGTTTAGTTGTTTGATTTTGGAGAGTCACTGGTTTGTGTTGTTTTGTGATCGAAATAACCGAATTCAATTAGTTCAAATTTTGGTTAATTTATCTGCTTTTTCTTTTTCTCTGCATTTTCCTACACATGATTGCAAAATCTAGCACTGGCGTATAATCATTGTTTGGCCATGTGGAAAATATCCCCTAAAACCTAATTTCACAGTATCTTTTGGACTGTGATGGCTTTGTTGACAATGCATTTGCTATGGTAATTTACTCTTATAATGATAACCCTTGGTGCATATAGATCAAAGTCTTTTGTTTTTTAGGGTGAAAATGTTTGTTATATGTCTGGCTTCCAAGTGCTTGTGTGATTAACTGGAAAGGGGGGAGTTGGAGAATTTGGAAGGAAAATTACTTTTTTCCTGCTTGGTAAAAAACACAAAAATGTGGGACTGTTGAAAGTGGAGCGAAACTCATTTACAATACAAATTTTGGCCACTCCTATGGCATGAAAGTGAGTTGATAAATTGATTTTTGAGTGATAATGTGGAGATCAAAACTTAATCTGATTCCAGTTGTCTTCTTTTATTCTGCTTACTCGAACTAGCATTGCCTTAGTTATAAGCAAAGTACAAATTTGTATGGCTCCCCAAATGAGCCTGTTAGGTTCCTAACACTTGCCCTGTGGTGGATTGATTTCATTATCAGTTTGGTTAACTTTTATTTTTGCGTCTCCGTTGATTGATTTCTCTGGTATTGTTTGTTTGTCATTTTGGGTCTCATAATATTTTCCCTGTCCAGGACTCATATGGCTATATGGTTGCATTTGCTGGTCGGAAATATGCAGCAAGGTCCCCTCCTGCTTTTGTTGCAAACGGTTCATATACTGTAACTAGTTTTACTCTTGTAAGGATTTTTTTTATAATGCTTTTTAACAGTTGTGTTCTATTTGATTGTCATAATCATAACCCCTACTGAGAACCAACTGAAATCTGGACCTGCAGGTCCTTGAGTTTCAGAAGGGCAGGCTGCAAAATTTTTATTGGAAAAGAGATGGGTGTGCTAAATGCTCGGGTAACTCCAAAGCTGTCTGTCTAAACAATCAGGATTGCGCGCTGCAAACATCCAGCTGCAAGAGCCATGGAGGATCTGTGGATTGCAGCATAGGAATACAATTGGCGTTCTCTGGCACAGATAAACACCTTTCAGCTCTCAACTCTTGGTATGAAGTGAAAAACCTTCGCCAGTATTCTCTCTTTGGCCTTTATTCAAATCTGAGAGATTCCCTTTCTAGCCAGTACAATAAGTTTTTCTAATTCCCTTTAGTTCTTCTGTAATTTGTTTGTACCATTCTGTTGTGATTTGCTCATGTTTAAACTTTATCGACTTCTCTTCCTTCCCTTCTATATATATATATATTTGTGAGAACCTAGAACAATGGCGTGTACATTTGTATACCAAGGTTATCTTCATTATGCTGGATGGAGTACAATGCATATCAATTTGTCGTTAACTACGGTGAACTGTTTGACATGCCAAATAGCATACTTGACCCTTCAAGTAGCTATACTTGGATTGGCGTATGCTTGGCCAGCTTTGATAAGGCATACATGCAAGTAGTCTTCTAGTTTCACATGAAGAATTCTTGAAGAATGCATGTTTTATATGTAGTCTTCGGTGAAGGGAGGATTGAATAAGGATTTTTTAAAATAATTTAACTATTGCCTTTAATCCTTTAACAGATGTGTCAAACATCATAAACTATTCCTAATATGCAAAAATATGAATAATGATTTGTGAGGGCGTGAAGTGATGTGATAAACTGATATACCTTTATTATTTTGCTAAAGGGCCGTTTTTGACATTCAACATTCTCAGACGCAGCTTAGTTATGACATGGATTAGATGGTGAATTATTTAAATTATCGTACTTTTCGTGGTGAGGGGTAGGGTTAACCATAATTTTTAATTAAATCTGAGAGTCTTGTCAAGATGAGCTTTGCTTGGGTAGTTAGATTGTATGATAGCAGTTTGGTACGCTAATGGAACAAAGTGAAACGATTTGGATCGTTTCTCCTTTGATAGTGAAATTAAAATGTAAGATTCTTTAATTCTATGTTCAATGTTGCTTGTCTTATAAAATGCACTAAACAGAACTGAATTCAGAATTCATATGATGTTTCATTCTAGTTTAAAGCTTTTAGCAAATTTACCTATGTTATGAATTTTTGTGTTGTATAAAAACTCACACACATAAATTCGTGTTTGGGTTGATGTAACTTATAAGTGTCGCTTTATTTGTATTAACCCGAATCGTCGCAAGCAACAGCAAATTAACTTGTATGGATCCAATGTCCGTACATCGCCCATCAAACCGAAGCCTATTAAAGTTGCAACTTTGCTTCATAGTCCATTTGTGGATAATGAGCCTCACTGAGAAGTCCAATAGATTTTGATTGGGCTACAGCTCAAGCAAAGACTTCTGGCTCAAACACCAAATGGCAGTGAACAACATTTTGCATGACTTGACCAACACTGCTTCTTAAGAACTAAGAACAGGGGTCAAGTTTGATTCCAAGAAGACATTTGCATCCCTTTCTCTGTCCCTTACCCCAATTCCCATCCCTTGAATAGAAGGATAAAAAATAAAAAAAATAGCAGAGGCAATGTATTATTAAAAAAAGGCAATCCCCCCACCTCCCTCTCCTCAATTCGTATCTGATTCTAACGTGTTGAGTCACTTGTTGCTTTCTTTGAATGTAATTTAATAAATTCCACTAAAAAAAATTGAAATCCACTAATATGAGATGTCATCATACAGTTTGCCTAACCCACAAAAAATTAATATTAAATATTCATAGTGTCTTATAATATCAATTATATATAGTTGACGAACACAATGATCCCCACTACTGTTTTATTTATTAGTGGCTATCTCCATAACAAGGAATTAAGCAGGCCGTTGGACTTGTTGGAGAAGATTCTAGGGCAGAATTTTTATTTAAAAAACCCGAACAAGATTCGAAAAGGGAAATCTTTATCATAACTTAACAACCAAATGGTATAAATCGCCCCTAGTTGGTGGAAATAATAAAGATTAAGAACACTAATCCGCTTCATTAAAAGCATAGTAAAATTTCCTATAATTTACTCATAGCCTCATAATGGAATCAATAATCATCCTGAATCCACAAGAGAAATTATCTTCAAGTATTAAAGAAATAAACGGGACAAACCTTACTAATTTATCACTTCAGTTCAAAATTAAACTAAATTAAAACAAAAAAGGAAGTATATATATATATATATATATATGAAGAGGGATGTTCCAGTTTGTTATTTTTATTATTTTAAGAATTGTTGGTTGTTTAAATAGTGGGTAGCTCTTTTATTTGTTTTGTTATTTGAGTTCCAACTTTAGGTCATAACTATTAGTGGAGCTTATCTAGCGTTAGTGGATAGTTAATTTTAAAGTTGTCTTTTATTTAAACTTGAAATATTTGAAAAAAGATCATAAATAAGAAACAATATTTTGTGCACTTGTTTGTATGCTTGAGGCAGGGTTGCCTCAGTTGAACTCAAATCTTCTATTTTCTTCCAAAATAGATGTACGTAACAGCTTTGTATCAGAGCAGCCAGGCATGGAGAAACGGTTGAAAAAACTAGAAGATGCAATTTAGGCACTCTCTATTCAATTGAAGGAGATGTTTATCAAATTCTCAAATCGACTATATGCTTTAGTACGGAACAGTGACCAAAATGTCACTGTTCACCAACTTTTTTACTTAAATGCCACGCGAACAGTATTATTTCTCAATCTGCCACGTGAGCGAGTTCGCTACAGTGCCCAACGAACTCGATTGGATGACGTGTCACGTTTTTAGTGGACACAGTACCAAGTTCGCTACTGGGAGTAGCAAACTTGGTTGGAATGTCAGCTTTTTTCAATTAAAAAGTCCAACCAAGTTCGCTACTCCCAGTAGCGAACTTGGTACTGTGTCTACTAAAAACGTGACACGTTATCCAATCGAGTTCGCTGGGCACTGTAGCGAACTCGCTCACATGGCATATTGAGAAATAACACTGTTCGCGTGGCATTTAGATAAAAAAGTTGGTGAAAAGTGGCATTTTGGTCGGTGTCCCCTTTAGTACCAACCACCAAACTCTACCACTTTCATTGTTCTCATTTCATACCCGAGGCTTTCACACCCAAATATTTATCTCTTTTTCTCTCCACCAAACGAGCAATTCCCCTTACCCTTTGCTATTAGAAATTTGAATACGATCAAAGTGTCTCAATCAAACAAAACCCCTCGACCAAGAGCCCAATTTGGTTTAGACATGAGATATCGAATGAGAAATTAAATTCTAAAATTCTTTGAGAAGAAGAAAAAAGAGTAGTTGCTAGATGATATTTTTCAATCAATAACAATGGAGAGACGGACATGGATATTGAAGATGTTTCAATTATTTGATCTTACTCTTGAAGACAAGAGTAATTTTTAGAGAGAGAGAATGTTACTGCTAATTATTTTTATTATTTTATGAATTGTTGGGGTGTTTAAGTAGTGGGTAGTTATTTTGTTTGTTTTGTTATTTGAATTTCAACTTTAGGTCATAACTATTAGTGGAGCCTATATAGTGTTAGTGAGTAGTTACTTTTATGATTGACTTGTATTATTTATTTAAACCTTGAAGTATTTGAAAAAAGATAATCATATAAAAAACAATATTTTGTGCACTTATTTGTATGCTTGAGGCAATGTTCACTCACTTGGACTGAAATACCCTATTTTCTTCCAAAATAAGTGTACATAACAAGAGATTAAAAGTTCCTATAATATAGATTATATTTATAAAATATTACATCAATATATGTCAAGATAAACATTATATATTTTTTCAAAATATATTAAAATAAGTGTGTTATTTTTAAGTGAGAGTTTCATTTTAGGGTAATACTTCTCTTATGTTGCATAAGAGAAGTATTATCTCATGCTCAAACAATAGTTAGGAGAGATAAAAAAATTAAAGGTGAGAAAAAAAAAATCTTGTGGGATCCATTTGAAAAATGTGAGTGTAGGAGATAATAATTTTTTTATGTAACATAAGAAAAGTAATTCCATTCATTTTAATGTTACTTTCAATAACTTTTTTCTCAAATGGAAATATACTCATCACAAATCTGTTATAATTAATTTTTCTGGTTATTGGACCCTTGAAGAGCTCATGTCCAAAAGCATAGTGCTTTGTTAATTTGAATTCTTAATGTCTTCCACCTTTTATTGCCCGTACATATGTTTATTATGGACGCATGCTATCTTTCCTTCACCTGTGAATCATGTGAGTGGGTATCCTTCTTCAGATGGATTCCATAGGATCTTGAGCATGAATCCTCCCAACAAATTTTTTAGTACGTTCAAGTATCAAAGCAATCATTGCTTAATTGATGACCATTCACTTACCCTTTAACTTTTGGTCCATATTTTTATCAATCAATAGATTTTGAGTGTTTTCCACTACATATAAGTAACCCTTTTTGTTGCTTACTATTAAAATTTTGGCATACTACCACTCCAAGTCCAAGATCCATGCCTTAATTACCCTATAGATCATTTAATAACAACCCTAACCTAAGAATCATTGAATTTGTTCGTACTTACAGCTACCAATCCAGTTCTGGCTTCCACCAAATTTTATGTCCAAAATATGAAATGGAGTTCCCTTTTTGTTCCAGGTCCTATGTGTCCAAACACCACCATGCACCTCATGCTCAAAAGTCTAAATCCACATTTTTTACATAGCAAAACCCACTATGGTTTTGTTGATATTATTTAGTTTAACTTTAGGCATTCACTTTCTCTCCAACTGTTTTTAATGGTTATATTGATTAAGTTTTGCTTTGAATGATCTCCAACTAAGAAAATCTTGTGTAAAACCAAGAGTAATAAAATACCATAGAGGTTCCATGAAAGAATCTTTAGAATCAGAGTTAGATAATTATCATGGTGCTCAATTTAAGATTAGTCTCATGTTTATTTAAATTCGCTACTCAATTTGAGATTCGTCTCATATCTATTTAGATTCATTTTTCCGTCCTGATATCGTGGGAACACCCGACTCGCCCAAAAAAATAATTATGATTGTGAAATAAAAAAATAATCATTGAGCCCATTTTTAGGGGAAAACATTAATTGATGTGTGCTTTTAAGTATAAAGTGAAAGGAAGACATTTGTGCCCTTGCTCACCTATAAAATAGTCATGCGTGGGCTATGGCAATTTTGTGCCCAGTGAAAGGTCAATATGCCAATGTCATTTTATTATTCATTTGAAACTCAAATTGTCGTGTACAAAGTAACTTTATCTCTGTCGCAAATTAAAATTGAAACTGACAACAAATTTACATGAGTTCCTATTCGTTTCTTGTACAACTTTTTTTATTGGATTTGTTTTTCCGTTTTTGCTTTGTGGAGGGTGTGATCTTGTGAAAAAGAAGGTGACCA